ACAACCCTACAGTAGTCTCTGAGTGTTCAAGTGAAGGAAGAGTCAAATGTGTTTCACTTTAAATCAAAAGCCAGAAATGATTAAACTTAAGGCATGTGGAAAGCCAAGACAGGCAGAAAGCTAGGCCTCTTGCATCTACAGTTAGCCAAGTTGTGAATGCAAAAGAAACATTATTGAAACAAAAATTAAAAGTTCTATGCCAGTGAACCCACAAATGATAAGAAAGTGAAACAGCCTTATCATTGATATGAAGAAAGTGGTCTGGATAAATCAAACAGCCACAACATTCCCTTCAACCAAAGCCTAATCCACTTCAAGTCCCTAACTCTTTTGAATTCTATGAAAGCTGAGAGAGGGGAGGAAGCTGCAGAAAAGTTTGAAGCTAGTAGAAGTTAGTTACTGAGGTTAAGGAAAGAAGCCATCTCCATAAGATTATAAAAAAAAAAAAAAAGTGCAAGGTAAATTGGTTTCTAGAGACGGAATCTACTTCCAGTGAAGATTCGGTGAAGATATTGAAATGAAAACAAAGGATTTAGAATACTGCAAAAACTTACATGGCAAAACAGCAGTGGAGTTGGAGAGGATTAACTCCAATTCTGAAAATTCTACTTTGAATTTATAGATTCATTACTTAAAAAAAAAAAAAGTGTCATTGCACAAGCTAATGTCTACATTTCTCCAGCTCTAAAATTCAGACTTTGGAGTCAAACTGTGAAGTCTTCTATCTCAAGACGAAAGAAAACTATGGGGGAAATACGCTTGTTAGCACAGTCTGGCAATCATTTCTGTATATTTTTCCTCAGTATTCTTTAGAGTGAAAATGAGCATTCTTCACTGGCCTGTGTAATTGCCAAACATGACTGTCTTTCATTCTTAATCTGCTGGGATACTACAGAGCCAGCCTTGCAAATACAGGCCTCTTACTGATGACTGATTAACATGTAGTAATGGCTGTCATTCACTAAGTATATTTGTATGCAAGACGTGCTTTTATAAATCTCATTTACTCTTGTGCTTTTTGCTCTTATGAATTACTCTGTGCTTTTTGTATATCTCATTACTCTTCACAGCAACCAAGCTGCTATTACATCCATTTTACAGATAAGGTAACTGAGACCTCAGGATAGGTTAAGTAATTAATCAAATATCACACAGCTAATTAAAAGCTTGGTAGGAATTTAAACACATTCTTTTCGCAGCTACAATCTACTGCCTGCTAACTAGATATTTATGCTGCCTAATTGTATGAAAGGGAGGTGTTATTAATGCTGTGATTCAAAATCAGGAGTTTTGATCTTTTTGAATTTATCTAACGGTTCAGAACTGGGTTAGCTTTTCTTTTTTGCCCCACAGAAGAAGAAGGCTAATTGCTCTGGCTGAGACTTCCAGTTAAAAAAGAAAAGAAAAAAGGCCGGGCCTGGTCGCTCATATCTGTAATTCCAGCACTTTGGAGGCTGAGGCAGGCAGATCAAGTGAGCGCAGGACTTTAAGACCAGACTGGTTTCATCAACATGATGAAACACCATCTCTGTGTAAAAAAAAGATAGTGATGACAGCCTAGGTTTAAATTCTATCATTTATACTATGACCTCAAGTGGTTTGTTTAATTTCACTTAATCCTTTATTTCTTCATTCATGTAATAGAGATTTCTATTGAACCTATTGCTTAAGGTTGAGAAGTTAAAATGCAATGTGTTATGTGAAGCGCTTAGTATATACCTGGCCATAGTAAATGTTCAAGACATTGATGAAAGACCCCTATTCTTCTGGTTCAAGTTAGTGATTTAAAATAAATTAATTTTTAAAAAAAGACTCCCTCAATCCTTATTTTTATTTATTGTTTTTATTTTTTAATATGACTTCAACTGCTGGGAAGGCAGCATGAATTAAGATGCCCCACATAGGCCGGGCACGGTGGCTCACTCCTGTAATCCCAGCAGTTTGGGAGGCCAAGGCCGGTGGATTGGTTGAGCCCCAGAGTTCAAGACCAGGATGGGCAATGCAGGGAGACCCTGTCTCTACCAAAACTACAAAAATTACCTAGTCTCATTACCTGGTCTCAAAATAAATAGATTAAAAATTTTTTAAAACAGATGTCCCAAGTACAAAATATTTTTTTTAATTGCAAAAACAAATTTTAATTTTTAAACTTTAGTTTGATTTAAACATTGCTTTTAGTATGATGCTGACACCAGCTGTGCAGAAAGGGCTCGGGAGAGATGTTCATAGCAGCACACACCTGCGGCTCTTCTTCAGTTCTGGAGGCTCCAGGGCAGCCAATATTGCTTCATCAAATACATTCCTTAGGCCTTTCTGTTTAAGTGCAGAACACTCCACATACTTGACAGCCTTCAGCTCATGGGCCAGCTTTTCAGCAGTCCCTAGAGTGATAGGCTTCTGTTTGTTCTTGGCAAGTTTCTCAATAGTAGAGGGGTCATCTCTGAGATCAATTTGGGTCCCAGCAAGCAAGAAGGGAGTCTTTAGACAGTGGTGAGTTATCTCAGGCACCCACTTTTCCTTCACATTTTCAAATGAAGACGGAGCGACTACTGATAAACAGACATCTGTTTGTGGATAACTCAGCGGTCATAATCTGTCATAATCCTCTTGCTCTGCAGCATCAAAAAGTCCAAGAGTATATGGTTCTCCACCAATCATAACTGTGACTGCACAGTTGTCAAAAACAGTTGGTACATATTCCCATGGAAATTTGTTTGTTGTGTAGGATATCAGGAGACATGTTTTACCAACAGCACCATCACCCACAACAACATATTTAATTGTCTGCATTGCTGAAATAGTTCTGTATCCAGTTTAAATATTTCAAATCTGATGTTGACCTCAGCTTCTCTGCTGGGGCGTTGGTCTACAAAATATTTTATACCCTACCAACGAAAGGTGTTTTTTAAGACCACAAATACATAAAATCACATAACTGTCAGATTAGAAGCTAATGTGTGTTTTAACTGTGAACAATTTAAAACATCTAGTGCTATTCATAAAATCATTCACGTTGCAACCATCATTCACAACACCATTCACATCACTCACATTTCATTAGTATTAATTATAATTTACATAAAGTTGAATAGTTGAAAGGCAATGTGTTCTTTATTGAATTGTTTGAACATCACAGAATCCTGTAGGATATGTATTAGTTATCTCAATTTTACAAATTAAGATACATGTTTAGAGAGATCAAGTCCCATTACACATGAGGGATTCAGGTATGACTGCTTCCAAATGCTGTGTTCTTTCTTTTCCTTAACCAATGAAACCTTGATCAACTAAGTAGGTTAAAACTCCCAGGTTTTTTTTTAGTAGAATGGAATAAGAAATAGCATAGCCAGAGACTCAATGTATGAAAGTCAACACAGTTGAAAGCAAACACACACACTTATACTAGATCACCATGTAAGATGTAATTTATTCCTGTAGGTGTTGCACAAAAAAATTGACAAACACCGACTATATGTGAAGACCCAGTTACGCTTTTACTCACTATATAGACTTTAAAGTCCATCTAACAGATTTATTCATTTATAGTATAGAGGCATAAATATATCCTTACTCTACTTTTCTTCTCTATTTCCTAGGAGGTTTTTGAAAATCAAATGAAATAATATATGTGGAAGAACACTTTGTAAAGTTTCTATGCAAGTGTTTCATAAACTTGGATTTGGGGTCTATCCAAAAAAGTGGTAGATGGATATTCAGAGTTAAAAGAATTCCACAATGGAGTTCACTTTTGTGAGGCAGCCACTATCCCTTCATCCCCTGTAACAACATATGACTGCTTAAGTAGGAGGAAGAATTGAGTATGAACTCTTTGTGAAATTCAATTTTTTGTGATCTTTCTGCCTCTTAAATATAAAAGTTGACCATCATCACACAACAAAGTCTCTTCCCAAGTACCGGAGTGTCTTGCACAAAACCCAAATTCAATGTCTGTCAAAAAAATGAATCGGAAAAAAAATGCATACAATACCATTATTAAGCTATTACTGCGCACAAGCCCTAGTTAGGTCTTTTCTTCCAGGAATCAATCTCTAGAATTTTTTCAAGTCACCAGTTAACATACATAAGGGCTACAAAACCAAATGTTACATAGGTAATCTTTAGGCTAAATGATTTTCTATTTATTTATTCACTTGAATAAATTCAAAATTCCTAAAGTATGATATATGTTGTTTTCTTTTCAAACTCGAATAGGTCAAGTGAAAAATGGTTATTCAAATATACTCTTCTTCCTTGTGGAAACAATCCCTTTAATACAGTAACAATGTTTTCCTGGCGCTTGGTTATAGCTGTCCTTGAACAGACAAAATTTCCCCTGTCCTCCAGAAACCGTGCTTAGTTAACTAAAATGTCATGTTGCGTAATTTCTCAGCTGGAAGCAGAAAGACTGGCCTTTTCAGGATCCTTTAAGATAGGAATCTACATTTGCATCCACTATCTAGTTTTTGTTGTGGCGCGATCTCCGCTCACTGTGGCCTCGACCTCCCGAGCTCCAGCGGTTCTGCTGCCTCAGCCTCTCGAGTAGCTGGGACTATAGACACGCGCCGCTCCGCCTGGCTAATTAAACAACAATAAAACAAATTTAGGAGACCGGGGTCTGTCTATGTTGTTCAGGCTGATCTCGAACTCCAGGGGTCAAGCGATCCTCCCGCCTCGGCTTCTCAAAGTGCCAGGATCACAGGCGAGAGCCGCCGCGCCCAGCGGCACCCCAAATCTAGTGATAAGCAACGTTCAACTTTGACAGAAGCAGCTGGCCTGCGGACATCGTCGGTTATCCTCGGAATTTATCCAATGTAGGAACGCAGGTGAGCAGCGAACCCTCCCAGGTCGGCTCACGACAACGGGAGAACGTAGGTAAAAGACAATCGCGGTCACGCACCGCGTTGGGGCTGCGCGAAGCAGAGCTAGGAAGCTTTGATCGGGTCTGGACTTGGTCCCTCCCAGATTCTGAGCCAGCAGACACTGCAGCCCGAGCCAATTGCAAAAGACCAACAAAGCCCAGCCCAGCGGAAGGAACGGTCCGCAGTTGTTTCTCGTCGGTAACGAAGCTCGCTCTTCCTTGCTCTCGCCCCTACTCTTCCTGATGTTAGATCGAGCGGCCCTCTAAAAGCAGGTTAGAGTGATTGGTACAAAAAACACAGCAAACGCTCGCAGCTACAAAAAGGATGAAATTCTTTCTGGACATCCTCCTGCTTCTCCCCTTACTGATCTTCTGCTCCCTAGAGTCCTTCGTGAAGCTTTTTATTCCTAAGAGGAGAAAATCAGTCACCGGCGAAATCGTCCTGATTACAGGAGCTGGGCATGGAATTGGGAGACTGACTGCCTATGAATTTGCTAAACTTAAAAGCAAGCTGGTTCTCTGGGATATAAATAAGGTAACAGTGCTTACTATGTTTTACTTTCTGGAACCTTTAATTTGTGGACACGTCTGCATTTTCCTGGCAGCCACCCTTTACAGCATCTCTGTAAAGCAGGAAAGAAAAAAAAAATTAGTATTGCCATTTTGCAGATGGGAGGGCATGAATTAATATTTTGTTTGATCACATGATAAACAGACCTAGAGGTTATAAGAGTCCCAGTTACTGCCCATCACTAGTTTGACATTGTAAATTGATCCCCATTTTTGCCCTAAGGATAACTTATAATTTTCTCCTGAACCTGATTTCATTGATCCCTCCATTTTAAAAACGAGGAAAAAGAAATCATTTTAGCTAGTATATCAAAAGAGTAAGAAGTTTGTACCTATTAAGAGAAAGTCCTACTTGTTGTTAATGAGATAAGTGTTTTAAAAGATTATACCCAACAGAAAGCAATTCTACTTGGCCATGTTATTGCCAAGAATAATTTTTTTTTCTTTGAGTGGGAATCTCGCTCTGTTGCCAGGCTGGAATGCAGTGGCGTGATCTCAGCTCACTGCCTTCTGGGTTCAAGTAATTCTCCTGCCTCAGCCTCTCGAGTAGCTGGGACTACAGGCTCACGCCACCACGCCCGGCTAATTTTTGTATTTTTAGTAGAGACGGGGTGTCACCATATTGACCAGGCTGGTCTCAAATTCCTGACCTCATGATCCGCCTGCCTTGGCCTCCCAAAGTGCTGGGATTACAGACGTGAGCCACCACGTCCAGCCGCCAAGAATAATTTTTAAAAGCATCTTTTCTGGGAGGCTGAGGTGGGAGGTTGCTTGAGCCTGGGAGGTGGAGGCTGCAGTGAGCTGTAAGCACCCCAATGCACTCCAGCCTGGGTGACTGAGGTGGACCCTGTCTCAAATTTTTTTAAAAAGCATTTTTTATCACCTTTGACCTGTGATACTGAAGGAGTTGCAGGGAAGCATCTTTTAGTAAAAACAATAAAAAGGAAAAAAACCTTTTAATGTAGTTTTTTTTACCCAGGACAAGCGTAGGTGTGGGCTTAGGGAAGAGAAGAGGACCTAGATTCTAACCTTTTATTTGACCCTTGGTAGATGAACAAAGGGATTTCTAAAAGATACCTGATGGCCTCAAACATTATCCATTATGCACTAGTTGACATGCAATGCTGTAAACAATAATTCAAAGCATATGAAGTTAAATGAGAGTTAACCCAGTGAGTTGCTGATTAAGACAGCAATCAACAAATGTTGATTTAAATCTGCTTTAGACATTAGGGATAGGGTGACAAACAGAAAATAAGGTTCCATGACCTCAGCCTAGTAGGGAAAATAGACATTAAGTAATTACAAGTGCAGGCCGGGCACAGTGGCTCACACCTGTAATCCCAGCACTTTGGGAGGCCGAGGCGAGCAGATCACCTGAGGTCAGAAGTTCAAGACAAACCTGGCCAACATGGTGAAACCCTGTTTCTACTAAAAATCCCAAAATTAGCCAGGCGTGGTGGTGTGCGCCTGTAATCCCAGCTACTTGAGAGGCTGAGGCAGGAGAATCACTTGAACCTGGGAGGCAGAGGTTGCTGTGAGCCGAGATCTCGCCATTGCACTCCAGCTTGGGCAACAAGAGCGAAACTCCATCTCGAAAAAAAACAAATAAAATAAATAAGAAACAACAATTTTTTAAAAAGTAATTACAAATACAATGAATAATACAAACTAGGCCCAGCCCAGGCCAGTGTGGTCACAGTCTGGCGTGGTGATATAGTCAGAGCTCTCATTTTTTAATTGGGTAACTTGCTCAACTTTTGGATAAAATGATACCTACCTCAAAAGGCTGGGAATATGATATGAGATAATGCGCACAAAGCATTTAGCACAGTGGCTGGTATAAGGTAAACACACTAGAGTGTTAGTTGTTATTATTCCTTGACAAAGTGTGGTTTTAGCTAAAATTCAAATATATGTTAAGAGTTAGTTAGGTTAATAACTTCCAATGTCCAGTGCTGGTTTATAAAAAATTTTCTCTGATCATGCATTTATCCAACAAATTTTTTTTTTTTTTTGAGACGGAGTTTCGCTCTTGTTACCCAGGCTGGAGTGCAATGGCGCGATCTCTGCTCACCGCAACCTCCGCCTCCTGAGTTCAGGCAATTCTCCTGCCTCAGCCTCCTGAGTAGCTGGAATTACAGGCACGCGCCACCATGCCCAGCTAATTTTTTGTATTTTTAGTAGAGACGGGGTTTCACCATGTTGACCAGGATGGTCTCGATCTCTTGACCTCGTGATCCACCCACTGGGATTACAGGCTTGAGCCACCACGCCCGGCCTATCCAACAAATATTAATTGAGCCCCTATTATCTGTTAGGCACTGTTCTAATAGAGAACTGAGGATTTGGCATTGAGGAAGACATGAGCCTCATTAGCTAGGGGCAGTATGCCACACTGTATTATTGTAAAATGTATAATTGTTAGGTGGTGTTAAGTATAAAGAAAAAAATACTAGGCAGAGCAGATAAAAGACTGTATATGGTAGGGAGGGTAGGAGGGGAGTGCTGATGTTATAGAGGCAGCCAGGAAGGACTCACTGAGTTGGAGATAATTGAGTCAAGATCAGAAGAAGCTGAGAGCACAGTGAGTCCTGCAGGGAGGGATCAGCAAATGCAAAGCCTGGCACAGACTAAGGGAAGGGAGAGAAGTGCAAGAAAAGTCTTGATCTACTCTGTGCAACACGATGGTAGGTAGTAGCTCCTAGCCTCTTGCAGCTCTTGAGACTTTGAAAATGTGCCCAATCTGAATTGAGATGTGTTGTGGGTGGGACACGCTGGATTTTGAAGACTTAGTATGAAGAAAAGAATATAGAATTTTGTGTTAATTTTTATATAGATTACATGTTGAAATGATAATTAGTTAGATACATTAGGGTAAATAAAATATACTACTAGATTGTGTTTTTTTATGTGACTACTATGCTTTGGCTTTTTGTTCTGGGGAGTCAATGAAGGGTTTTAAGGGTCATTCCTATTGAGGAGGATCCTCCAGCTGCTGGGCTTAGATGAGACATAAGAGGATAAAAAATGGAAGGAACAAGTAAAGTAAGAGAGCTCTGTGATAATCCAGGCACGAGATGACACGATGGGGACTGTCAGACAAGGTTGGCAGCAGCAGAGATTGGGAAAAATGGTCAGAAAAATTGAGGAGAATGTAGTGAGTTTTTATTAGGTTAAATTAGCTTAATTTATATAATTCATCTTTTATTTTGAGATTATATCCTTCCTACTTTTTTGTGGGTAAAAAATATGTTTGTTAATGAAATTACAATTATAACATATGAGTCATTTTTTTAGTTTTGGGTGCCCTTATTTGGCCAAAAGTTTGGCAATCCTAGTCTGGTATGCATACCCCACTCTATTTTTCTTGCCATTTTATAGATTTGAAATTATAGAAGTCTGAGAACCACTAAACCTGATTGGGGAAGGACAGGGTGCGGGTTTGGAGCAGTCCAGGTAGCAGAAACGGAGACGTGAAGCTCTTGAGCACGTGAATACCTAGAGAATGAGGAAGAAAGTGGTGTTGGATTGTTATTGGATCTAGCTGGAAGGGCAGGGAAGAGCCAAAGGGAAGGCCCTTTCACTTAGAGTACAAAGACAATTTCTTAGATTAATCCACGTAGTGAGGATAGTCCACGTATACCAAACATTAATGTAGGGAGGAATTAATGGTGGTGTCAGCTTTGTTGTTTCACTGAGACCGATACCAGGAATTATTCATTCTGCTTTATGATCATCTATCACCTCTTGACTATTCTCATTCCCGTGTCTGGTTAGAATGGTTGATAGCCAGGCATGGTGGCATGGTCCTGTAGCCCTAGCTACTCAGAAGGCTGAAGCAGCAGGATTGCTTGAGCCCAGGTGTTCTGGAATGTGGTGCGCTCTGCATGTCCCCGTAAGTTCAGAATCAATATGGTAACCTCCTGACAGTAGGTGTGAAGGATACCAAGCTCTCTAAGGAGGGGTGAACCAGCCCAGGTTGGAAATGGAGCAGGTCAGAGCTCCAGTGCTGTCCGTAGTTGGATCACGCCTGTGGATAGCCATTGCACTCAACCTGGGCAATGGCGAGACCCTTTCTCCTAAAAAAAAGTTAAATTAGGAAAATATTAACTTGGAAAGGAAAATTTACAGTAAGTGGCGAGCATATAGTATATGCTCAAAGACTATTTATTGAATAAAAAAACAATGAATAACTGAAAAAATAATGGGAGGAATTTAAAATTTTTCAATTTTTAGTGATTGTAGACAAACATATTTGAAAAAATTTACCAAGGAAAATCTTGAAGAATTATGAGCAATTGTACTGTGTTGCAAAACATTTTAAAGGAAGAATTCATTTTATTCCTGAAGATCTGCTTATTTTTTATTTCTTAACAATTATCTATCTGGATAGATAGGTATTTATCCAGATAGATATTTGGTAAGAAATAAAAAATATTTTTACCAAATACTTTTTGTGAAGGGCACTGTCTGGAATTTTTTCTGGAGGAATTTAGAACTTAAATTTGTTGCACTGGCCGGGTGCGGTGGCTCATGCCTGCAATCCCAGCACTTTGGGAGGCCAAGGTGGGTGGATCACTTAAGATCAGGAGTTCAAGACCAGCCTGGACAACATGGTGAAACTCCGTTTCTACTAAAAATACAAAATTAACCAGGTGTGGTGGCACATGCCTGTAATCCCAGCTACTAGGGAGGCTGAATCAAGAGAATCGCTTGACCCTGGGAGGCAGAGGCTGCAGTGAGCCAAGATTGCACCACTGCACTCTAGCCTGGGTGACAGAGCGAGACTCCATCTCAGAAAAAAAAAAAAAAAAAATTTGCACAGTTCAGAAAGTGTGGAAACCAGACCAACCTAAATGAGGAGCAAGGAAATAGGGCAAAAGTGAGACAGCAGATGTGGAAGAAGGGTATCTTTGCCTCCATATACTCAGTCGCTTGGTGGCTACAGAAAGCCAACCAGTAATAAGCAAATCTCTGAAAACAGAATTAGTGGGAAATAAATTTTTATTATAAAATTTGTTTATGTAAGGAAATATATTTGTTCCAAAAAAAGAGGATCCAAATCAATACAATAATCTTTTTAAAAACTTTTATAAATATGGTAATATAGATGACAAAACACACCATTTTAACCATTTCTGAGTGTACAGGTCAGTGGCATTAACTACATTTACTTTATTATGCAGTGATCTCTTCTATTCCTCTCCAGACATTTTTAATCTTCCCAAGCTGAAACTCTGTACCCGTCAAAACAATATATCTCAGGCCTGTAATCCCAGCACTTTGGGAGGCTGAGGCGGGCAGATCATGAGGTCAGGAATCCAAGACCAGCCTGACCAACATGGTGAAACCCTGTCTCTACTAAAAATACAAAAATTAGATGGGCATGGTGGCATGTGCCTTTAATCCCAGCTACTCTGGAGGCTGAGGCAGGGAAATTGCGTGAACCTGGGAGGCAGAGGTTGTGGTGAGCTGTGATAGTGCTACTGCACTCCAGCCTGAGTGACAGAGCAAGACTCCCTCTCAAAACAACAACAACAACAAAAACACCACAATGTATCTCTCATTTCCCCAGGACCTGGCAACAATGATTCTATTTTATGTCTCTCTGAATGTGATACTCTGGGTACTTCATGTAAGTACACTCATATGGTATTTGTTTTTTTGTGTGTGTCTAGCTTATTTCATTTGGCATAATGTTCTCAAGGTTGTACATGTAGCATGTGTCAGAAATTTAGAATAATAGTCCATTGTATGCATATACAACATTAATAAAATATGCTTGTAAAAGGAAATGGCAAAAGCTGCCGGTTGCATATAGGAGGGCAAAATAAAGTCTACCTGAGATGTTGATGTCCCTTGAGGAATAAGAGCTCCTCATGAGGGTATACTACAGTTTGTGTGGGAGATTCATAAGAGAAAAAGAACTTGTTTCTTTTATTGTGATAACAGGCTCACTACACAAGCTACTAATTCTTCCCACAACTGTCCAGATTTATCCTTTCTGTATCAGTACTTGCCGTTTACAAATGTGTACGCTGATTTACCATCCTCTCTGTGGGTAAATGTGTGAGTCCTCCTGGGGTCTACCCATTTGTGCATTAGCTGACAATTATTATGTTGATGCACAAGTAATTGCAGCTTTTGTCATTAAAATAATGGCAAAAACAGCAATTACTTTTACACCAACCTAATACTTGGCCTGTAGAGTGCACAGACTAGATGGTAATCTAAGATCTCTTTTGAGACATTTCCTTAAAAGTAAAAAAAAAAAAAGGTAAAAATTGGCCAAAAGCAAACAAGCAAAGATAACCAAAAAAACCCCAATGGTGTGATCCTGAACTTAAGTTGACTCAAAATCAGTGCCCCAAATTGGACTCATCATCCCTTTCCTCAAATCTGCCGTCTCCCTGTCATCTCTGCCTGACATGTGGCAGCATGATCTTGCCAGATACCAAAAGCAGAAAGCAAAGATGTCACCTGTGACTCCTCCCCACCCTTCCTCATCTACTCACCAAGGCTTACCGATTTTATCTCCTAAACATATATTTTAAAGGATATCCTTTCCTCTACATTTTTTCTACTAGTGCCACAATTCAAGTTTGTGTCATCCATTACCTGAATTACTGTAACTGCCTCTCAAATTTTTTTAACTCCAGTGTTGACCCCTAAAATCTACCCTCCGTACGTCAGCCAGAATAATCAATACGACACATAAACCTGACTCTGTAATTTAATTAGTGGCTCCCCATTCACTTTTTGATAAAACTTAATATGACAAGTGGGACCTTAATCTGAACTTCTCCTGGCCTCGAACTTAATGATCCATCCAACAACGCTGATCCTACTAGTGGTTTCCACAAGACCAGTCTCCTGTCTGTCTTTGCACACACCCTGCCTGAAATGTCCTTTCACCCTGGGGAAAGCAGGTGAAAGGGCATAGCAAGCCACTGCTAGAATTATATTGTGTGCCCCTCTGTGTTCCCGTAACTCCCTGTATAGAACTCTGCTGTGATACTTATCACAATGTATTAGGTTGAAACTGACAATATTCAATCCCGTATTATCAAAACAATAATGGTATTATGTGGGTCCTACTTAACTATGATATTTATGTTTCTTTCTACGACACAGAGCACTCCTTGGGGTCGGGACTCTACCTCATTAATATTTGTGTCAAGGTTCTTCTGAACTCAGTGAATATGACCTTCATGTTAAAATGCTGAAAGAATGAATGGTTTAATGAACTGTAGTTAACTCATTGTTTCTTCTGCAGCCAGTAAACTGACGTGCATGAATAGTTTTTAATGACATGGAAAAAAGTTTAATGTTATATTTTTTAAAGCCTGATATGTAATACACGGAGATACTGACATTCACAAAGTATTTAAAGTTCATAAACGTAGAACTAGTATTTTAAGATTTGTACCTTCTTTTAAGAAACTTGCTTTAAATTCAGTTCCAAATAAAAGAAGCTAGTCAAAATACTAAAAGTAAAATGTGCTTATATACCTGCCAAAAATGGGTCGTTAAATTCTTGCCCAATTCAGATGGAATCTCACTACTTTTAAAAAATTATATTATAGCTGTCAATATAATATGCTCATATCAGTTACTACCTTGCCCTCTTTGTTGCTTTTTCTAGCATGGACTGGAGGAAGCAGCTGCCAAATGCAGGGGACTGGGTGCCAAGGTTCATACCTTTGTGGTAGACTGCAGCAACCGAGAAGATATTTACAACTCTGCAAAGAAGGTGAAATTTTATGTTTAGTTAGAATCATAACATGTTAGAGTTAGATGTTTTGGAGATGACCCAGTCTGTACATGACATAGATGAAGTAACTGAGAAATGTTACTTGTCCAAGGTTATAGAGCTAGCTCATAGCAAAACCCAAACTGAAGCTCTCAAATATTAGTATGTTCTGAAATTTTCCAGAGAGTTGTTAAAATATATATATACTATGGGTCTCCACTCCCAGAGGTTTTCCTTCAGTAGGTTGAGGTCAGGGCCTCAAATGAACCCTCTGCACCCTGCATCCCACACACCCTCACCTCATCCATGATTATCATACAGGTAAGTATCCCTGGATGACAACTGCAGAATTACTGACAGGGTCTTCTAAAGCCCATTCATAGAATTGGGTTAGAAAGTTACAATAAAGCTATTCTTTATGAGGTTTTTATTGTAGATGGAGCTATTTCTTTTATTTTCTATTCTTTTTCTTTCTTTTTTTTTTTTTT